ACTAGTTTTAACAGTAGCTCGATAAGGACAAATAGGACAGGCAAAAGGTTTCTCTCCTGTGTGGATTCTGTAGTGACGCTCCAAGTCTCCTTTCTGGGCAAATGGCTTCTTACATTCAGGGCAACAATAATGCTTGTCAGATGCAGACTGTTCTTCACCCCTGCAAACTTGAGGCAAACAATCGCTGCCCCCCCAACCTCTGGGCCACGCAGCCTATAAGAGAAAAAAAACATGATGGTGGCTGACTGTGTAAATATGCCACTCAACTAGAGTAAAATTCTAATGAGTCACGTAAATATGTACAAGAAAAAAAAAAATAATATAAAAGTTCATAGAAAAAAATCACTATGAATATATTGAAAATGACTAAAACGACAACCTAAGTGATAATAACCATAAATGTGGTACTGAAGTTTAAAGAACTATTTTATTTCAGATAAAACTATTAGCTTATCAATTTCACAATTAATTTAAAATAACATCTTAACTTAGCACAAAAAAAATAATACATGCTTACTTGGTACCATAGGCAAAAATCCTTGATCAAGGCAAAGGGAAGCCCACTATAGCTTTCTGAAACACAGCTTTCCTGTATAACTAAGTTCCTAAAAACATTGCAGTTCATGCTTACACTCCTGGAATCACATAAAAGCACCTTTCTTCCTAATGTCTTTCATTCTGTTTCTATATTCACACCAATCCTTTTAGAACATCTCAAAACAATTTCATTTAAATATACATAATCAACACAATACTTGGCGTCCTAATCACTTTCTTCTTTGTTATAAGTAATATAAAAAAACACATTTCAATTCAATGTTTTATTAAACTTTAAAACTGTCTGACTTAGTTATAATTGTTAATCTTTTGCAATAGCATGATTATACTTGAAAGTATATATGGAGTCCTTAAAAATCTGATACATAAAGGTGGAGCATCTTATACTGTCCATGTCAGTTTTCAATTACAATCCCCCAGTAATGCTTCAGATATAGCAAATTTGCCATTTGGGAAAAGAGAAGAGATTTCTGTTAATCTTTTTCTCTCACCATTATATTAATTTTTCACTTCATGAATATCCAGCAAATAATATTTTTCAGATTTCTAGCATCATAGATGTCTTCGTCTAATATGCCTTCTCAGATTACTTTTATCCTTCAAGCGAAGTGGGCAATGAGGGCAAGCAAAAGGAGCATCCCCTGTATGAGTCCTCAAATGGATGTCAAGAGAACCTCTATAATCATATGACTTCGGGCAGACTGGACACTGGTAGAATTTGTTGGTGTGTTGTGGGAGCCCTGGCGGAGGTACAAGTCTGGCTGTCATCTGGGGAAAAACGAAGGCTTGGTGAGTCTTACTTAAAGGGTCACAGAAAATATGCAGCTCACACTTGTTCAGACAAATAAATTCCTTGGTATGTGCTTTATTTTAGGGGACTTGTATCATTGCACCAACTGATCATTCAGTGTTGCCTCAAGCTAATCATCACTCCACTCCTCAACTGGGCTTGCATACTGAGGGAGACTTGTCTGCAGTATGGAATCCTCCCTGGAACATTCCGTTCTCTAGGTAAAGAGGTTATATGTGGTATCTTTTGCCTTCAGTAATGATGTTCCTAGTAGCTGCTCCTTGGATTATCCCTGAGATTCAGTTTTGCTGACAACATAAAACAAAAGAGGATGCATAGGAAAGGAGATTTTCTGGAGTACATATCTAGATTTCTATTAGAATGTAAACAGATGCATCCTGAAATGGCCTCAAAGCATGTAATGGGTAATATTAACCCTTATAATAACTGGCATCACAACATTTTCTTCCTTCTTATCTTTGTGACGAATACTGAAAATAAATCCATGATCTGGAAATGTCTATGGTATCTAGACTCTGGATAAAAATTTCCAAAATGATTCATCTCTTATGGAAGACATAAAGAAAGATCAACTTTCTGAATATTTAGACAGTAAAAAGAGATGCACTGGTTATCTGCCTCTGCCTTTCTGGCCATTATATATGAATAAACAAGAAAAAAATACCAAGCAATTGTGTAATGGCAGTAAATGAGGTGAATTTCTGTTTTTACTTCTCAAATATCTAGGATATTGAATACTGGTTTTCTACTGTTTTATTACCAAAGCTGTAACACTGATATTTATCTGATGAATATCTTGACCAAATCTCTTAGATCAATATCTACAGAAGAGTTAATGATGGCATCTTTTCAATAATCCTATTACAAAATATTACTTCTACAAAATAATGAGCATTTAAATTCATAAAAATGACTGGGTTAAAACAAAAAAATTAAATAAATAAAATAATGAACATAAGGTGTTTCTAAACATCCTTTCACCTCATTTAACAACAAACATATCACTTGTTTAATGCAATTGGAAATTTAAACAGTTCTAAACATGTTTTATTTGCTCAGGTGTATTTGGCTGTACTATGATGTAGTCTAAATATCCTTTCAGTTTATTTAACAACACATCACTTGCTTAAT